TACGGAAGGAAGTCATCATCGTAATCTCTCAGTGATAGCCTTGAACCAGAATTTGTATTTCAGTAAGGATCCCACACAATGCATAAACTGTCATTATCTGCGACTTTGTCTCAATGAATTCAGTTTAAAAGGAGGCATCCAAGCTAGGACCATTCAGTCTGAGTTAGACTTTCAGCGTGAGCAGACGTGTGAAGAAAACCTCCCAACAATGCCATCTTGTGATGACTGTGGACTCATGTTTAAAGACGTGCAGGATTTGCAAAACCACAGACGAAAACTGGTGTCCCGAAAAGTCCTCAGTGGGTCCACCTGGAATACCCCAAGTTAAAAGGAAGTGGGAGGAAGATGACAACTTTTCTGCTGTGAAGAGATCAAGGCCTCTGCCAGATTGTGACTATTGTGGTCAAGTGTTTAGCAATAACCACAACTTACAATAATTTACAAAGACATTTACACGATAAACAATGTCCTGAAATGGAAAATGATGGTGATGATGATGAATCGTTAAGTGATGTCACACAAAACAACAGAAAAAGGTGGCTGATGTCGAAGAGCAAGGTATAAGACAAATGTATTCCCGTACATGTCAGCTGAATAAAGACTTTTTGGATGAGAAACGACAGCTGTTCATGGAAAGAGGTTTAAACGAAGACATGATACAAGCCAAACTGAAGAAATTTATCTGGAGCACATTTAAAGGGATGTAAGCAGGATTTATTACTTATCTGTATCATATGCAGTGGGGTCCAAAGGCACAAGGAATACTGAAACAAGTACAAGACACGAATAATATGTATCATGATGTGTTTTCCAATCTGTACAAATGTAAGTCTTGGGTGGAAGGCTTGACTGAAGATGAAGACATAACATCTGATGTAGAGAGAGTGAAGGACAGGACGTTGAGGAGGGGCAATAAGACAATTCACAACAGATGTAAAGTAGACTTCTGGGAGCGCTCCTATCCCGTAGTTCTACTCGTTTGAAACGGAGCTAATAAAAAGAATGAAATCAGTATATCTTGTTTTTTGTCATGTATACCGCGTTAGGATGGGAAAACCACATTAACATGGTGCACCTAGTGGCAGCAAGATGCTCCCCGGGGAGTTTAGAATGGTAATATGGCTGTGATTGACATCCAAGGAAAAATGTACCAGCGCTTTAAGCATGCATGCAGGATGGACTACAGTGCTATATAACTACCCATATAATAATAACATACACCACTGTGTTGTCATTCATACATTTATGATTACTCTTTCATACTAACACTATACAGTACAACCAGAAATTATTGAGAATTTAAGATTGTAATTTTTTATATTTTTTCACTCATTACTCACGTATAAAATGTGAATATTAGCAGCACATAACTCCAGATTCAAAGGCAGGTGAACAGTTAGTATGTTGTCAAGTCACCATGGGCAGCAATGCAGGCTTCAATGTGGCGGGGCATACTACTGATCAAAGAAGTTAGAAAGTCGTGGTCCATGCTGTCCCAATATTGGACCACCACTTCTTTCATTTCAGCAAAATTTGTCAGATTTTTCTTATTGACACTTTCCTTCATAAGTCCCCAAACATTTTCTATTGGATTTAGGTCAGAGCTATAGCTTGGCCAATCAAATAATGTCATAATTTGGGACCGAAACCAGGCCTGTGAATGCTTTGAATGATGTTTTGGGTCGTTGTCCTGCTGGAAAATCCAAAAATTACCATAGAACACTTGAGCAGATGGAAGTAAATGTCCCCCGAGAATATCTGTGTACCGCTCACTGTTCATATTCCATTCAAATAGACAGAGGGGCGTTGCCCCTAACACAGATATGCCACCCCACACGTTTAATTTCGGACTGTACTTTGGGCGCTGATACAAAGGTTTTTCAGTTTGTTTGGCCCAGAATTTTAGTGTATTAGGAAACAGCCACACAGAACTTTCATCTGAGAAAATCACACTGTCCCAGCTGTAAGCACCAGTTCAACCTTCGCTCCTTTTGTTCAGATTTCATGATCGGTGATGGAATTCCTCGACTTTTCTGCTAACCTATTGAATGCAGCTCAGTTCTTATTGTCTCCTTACAGACAGCCACAGTTCCTCTACCAATCATATCCAGCCTTAAGTTTTCTAAAATCCTTCTTTTGTTTATAGAAACAAGAATACCAAGCTGCCTCCTGTCACTGACAGTCAATTTTCTGGGCCTACCTGAGCCTCCCTTGTGCTCAATGCCATATCCATTTGCAATATTTTTCAAAACACGATAAACAGTGGACAAAGGGATGCCTGTTCTACTTGAAATCATTTTAGCTGATCTGATGTCCTTGTTATAATACTCTAAAATCAACTTCCTCCCTCTCTAATTCATCCATACTGAGGATCACTGAAAATGTCGTCTGCTAGCAAGTAAACAAAGGGGGATAACTCTTCACAAACTAATGAAAGAGGATTAACGGAGTTGTCACTCTTAAATGAAACCAAGCACTTGATAGCTGGTCAAAGTTGTTTATACCAGAAATCCAATTAAACATATTCCTAAAATTCTCAATAATTTCTGGTCATACTATACAATTATACCCCATTCCTGATGGAAGTTTAGATGAATTCCATGAAAGTTGCATTCCTAAATAGGTTGGGAAGCGCACGTACAATCTCCATGACGAGAACGCACATTTCTTCAGTCAAAGCAGACGCTCCCTAGCTAGTGTTGATTCTAACGAGCATGTAGCATTTTATTTATGGATGTTTTTTTGTTTTACAAGACATCAATTATTGTCTTATAATGATGCATTTATTCAATACAAAATCATACTATGTAGGGAGTAATTCATGGGCTGCTAGTTCCACCATATTAACATAGGTTGTTTACACTCGCGAGAAATCTCCAGGCTAACTGTCGACAGAATCTTGACACGCCCTCCCCCTGCCACAGCAGTAGCTTGTGGTCAGTGGTCCAGTGAGATCGATAGTTGCTCTACGCTGATTGGTCAAAAATAATGGCGTGATGTCATGGTGTGATGCTATGATGTCACGCCGGATCGGTTTTCCCACGGGTGGGGGTGGGGGGGGATGTGCGCGGTCATTGCCCCCTGTGAAATGAGGTCAGCCTGGTGTTCAATTAGGTCACCAAAAATCAAATGGAAAATTTCAAAACAAAACATCTTTCTAAAGGGGCAAAGTAAAAATATACCAAAATTCAAATTTGGAACCAAAGAAATCTAATAAATATACACTCAAAAATAAAAAAACTAACATAAATCTAAAAATATTGACAGGGCGATAACCAAATTAAAAAATAGGTCAAACAAAATTAAATTACCACCTACATAGAATTTAAAAAAGAGTCCCACTGCAGCGAAGCACAAACGCTTGAACACGTCCTACTACACTGGATACATTACCACAACACAGAATGGTGCTCCAGAGTTCACTGGACACAAACACACACCTAACTCTACAAACGTTCCTAAGCCCACTAACATACACTGGGTGATGGGGTAGCCTAGTGGTTAAAGCGTTCCCTCGTCACGCTGAAGACCCGGGTTCGAATCCCCACGTGGGTACAATGTGTGAAGCCCATTTCCGGTGTGCCCCGCAGTGATATTGCTGGAATATTGCTAAAAGCGGCGTAAAACCAAACGCACTCACTCACTAAATAACACCCAAACCTTCAAACGCTCAGGTATATGTCTTTTCAAAACTGTCCTCCTAGGTCGCATATAATCCCACATAACCAATTATTTATAGTGCTAACATGAAAATACCATACGAAAACAAAGCAAAAACTCAATCAAAAAGTACTAGATAAAACATCAAATGGCCAGGCGGGTCCGTGTGCGAAATACGCATTATTTCGGAGCGCACGTAAAATCTCCAAATTATCATCATTCTCATCATCATCATCATCATCATCATCATCATCATCATCCACCATCATCATCATCACCATCATCATCACCATCCTATCAACACACTCGACCTCACAATATATATTGAAACATCTCCATCACTGATTATTGACTTACGGAATTCTCCATTATATTTTAAGATTAGCTCTGTTGTAGAACTCTATTAATTATGTCAGATAATGCCATTACAGAAATATATTATTTATTATGTATATAGTGTATTTGCATGTACATTGTTATGCATATCTGTCATTATTGAATATGTAAGTGGATTATATGTGTTGTTATTGTTTAGTTGTGTGTATCTTGCACTCAAGTACGGACACATTAAATGTATTAAACGGACACATTAAATGTATTAAACATCATTAATATGCTGATAGCGAACTAATACAAACAGTTGGTTCAAGTGCAAATATCATTTGCATATGATTTATATGACGACAGCTGAGGTATAATTGAGATATGTTTAAACAGTATGGGTAAGAATGGTTCCCGAATGATTATTATATGATGTTAGGTTGAACGAAGACATTTATTGTTGTTATGTACACAAGCGATACCATTTGATATGCTTATTCCCCCATCGAGATGTGTTTATAAGACTATTGTTTGAATATATTTTATGTATATGTATTTATAATAACACACTTGTCCTCACAATAAATATTGAAACATCACCTTGACTGATCATTGACTTAAGGAATTCTACATTCTATTTTAAGGATTATAACTTGTTATGGTGGTGGGGTAGCCAAGTGGATAAAGCATCCACTCCTCACGCTGAAGACACGGGTTCGATTCCCCACATGGGTACAATGTGTGAAGCCCATTTCTGGTGTCCCCCGCCGTGATGTTGCTGGCTTATTGCTAAAAGCGGCGTAAAACTATACTCATTCACTCAATCACTTGTTATCCCATAGGGGCGGTGAGGTAGCCTAGTGGTTAAAGAGTTGGCTCGTCACGCCGAAGACCCGGGCTCGATTCCCCACATGGGCACAATGTGTGAAGCCCATTTCTGGTGTCCCCCCGCCGTGATATTGCTGGAATATTGCTAAAAGCGGCGTAAAACTAAACTCAGTCAGTCAGTCAGTCAGTTATCCCATAACAAGCCGGGTAACAGAAGGTTACAAGTCAACGGTGGCGGATGGACCATAAAGGCTACTTAATTGGTGTTTCTTTGACATCGAACAAGAGCAGAAAGGCAGCACTATCCAGCATTCTGCAGAAGAGAACTATTACGTTTAATAATTGAATAAATTAGTCAATTATTACAAAAATAACTGTCATTGCAGATGTTGGTGAGCAAAAAAGAAAGTACCACTTCATGGATAGCAAATTCTGGGATGATACATGCAGCGACGATTTTATGTCGATTTCTGCACTGTGACTTCACACAAGAAATGTAAGTTATATGTGCATGACATGTTGTGATATGCTGAGGTTTAACATCAGGTTATATGTAGCGCACATACAACTGCATGAAGGCAGTAAAAGTAACATGTAGCACACAAGTGGTAAAACACACAGGTAACGATGGTAACGATGGAATCTAAGGAAGAACAAAGACGTGACACGTTTATTTGGTACTGATACAAAAAACACCAGATGCTTCTTTTGACCTTCATTGACATGAGGTAATACCTTTGATCTCTGTTGGTCAAGGGCTTGTAAAGGTTACTTTTTATGCTCGTGGGAGTTTCCTCTAAATGAAGTCCTAATATATGAGCGTCAGTCAAAAAGTAGTCGGCCTCACCTTGAAAATGATACAAATGCAGCTGTGTGTGTGTGTTTTATTTTTCTACATATTATCTGTCAACCTCAAACAAATTGGTTTTGCTATGTTCACGATCCCCATTGTGTTTGATGCAAAATCTGCAATAACTGCATCACAAAGTTTCAGGAATATGCAAGAAACATTTTGTGTGTTTGAGATAGGTAGAAGTCCGCTAGAATCAAACTTAGATATCAAAGTGCATAAAAAAATTTAAAAATTGAAACCGCAATCGCTTGTTAAAGTGACTTCCCCCTTCATGTTTACTGAAACAGCTTAGTTTGGAGACAACACTACCCCCCGCCCCTCCCCTTCAGATGACGTAACCATAAGGACATAACTTATTCGAATGTTTTCACTTATTCATAGAGGATGCCAAGGGTTCAAACTAAATACTGAAAGGTCACACAAGTGCCAGCTCTCAAAATATTGTAAACAGTGCCAGTTTGAATATCTGGACACAATGTTTTTGAAAGATTAAAGTGGGGGTGTCCTTAAAAACAGACCCCGTCTAAATATAAATCAAGCAATCCAAATCTTTGACTGTTCATTATGACGGGAAGTCAGGCATCCAATACTATGTGAACATATTCATACATGTTACCAAAGATTCCAACTAAATACTGAACGGCCCCACAAGTGTCAGCTCCCAGTATGTTGGAAACAGTGCCAGCTTGAATATTTGGACACAATGTTTTTGAAAGATTAGAATGGGGGTATCCTTAAAAAAACAGCCCCGTCTAAATATAAATCAAGCCATCCAAATCTTTGACTGTTGATTATGATGGGAAGTCTTCCAATACCAAACTGAACATTTTTATATGATATTATCTGAGGGCATACCATTATCCAAGAGGTACCAAATGACAGATCGTTTTTCATTTTCTGCATTTTCTTAGAAATATTACGCCCCAATGTGTTGTGATGACTAATATCTCGTTAACCACATTACCAACATATGTGAAATGTTGGATATGGCTCCGCTAATGATTCCTTCAAAATCAAATGGAAGCTTAAGCCATTCAAACATTGGACATCGAGAATATAGTTACTATATAGTGACAACTTTTTGACCGACCCTCGTACTGGGTTGAAGGGATTTGGTCTTTGCATTATGCATACATACCTCTTATCACTTGGTTGTTGTCACTGCCGACATGTAAGAATCTCCATCAAAACGTTCCTAAATGGAATACAGCATATGCTTATATCTCATAATTTTGAAAGTGTTATATCTAACATTATTGTCTACTTCTAGTGTTGTGCAAATTCAAGCTTCTGTAAATGATGACAGGGTCGGGAGTTGAACACTTCAACATTTTGACACACATCCAACCCACACTATGGCATGTACAGACATTACGAAAGATGTGTTCCCTTAAAGGCACAATTTCACACATTTTCGAAAATGACCTATGTTATATACTCGATGTCATTAATAAAGGGTCAAGCTATTGGTCACTATTTCTAAAAAGTTGTAAAGCTTCGTTTTTGTTTGCAATATATACAACTGAATGTTTTACAAACTTTTGGAACAGGATGAAAAATCACATCAGGCCGTTGAAATGTCATTATTACGTTCTTTAACGTCCGATACATTCTATTGCAAATGACACACTTTTTATTCAAATTGGCAATTTGGAAATCAACCTGCCCGCAATATCTACGATTTACAAATCCCTCTATCAATGGAAAGTGGAGGAAAATGCACGTGCATTGATGCTTTTTAACTGCCGTGCACTGTTCAGGTACGTGTTTGAAATCGCAGCTTAAAATGAGATGGTTTTTTTTTTTTACACTTGCTGGAAGGAGTCAGCCTATAGGCTTTTGGGAATCTGGTCAAACTCAGCGACAGGTTGCTGTCACTAATACGAGTCAGAGAGGTATTGGTAGATTGTGGCAGAGATTGCAAGCCAATGGGTGCGTGAAATATGCACGTCGGCCAGGTCGCCCCAGAGACTGTCCGAGATGATGGGCACATGATTAACACTACGTTATGTAACAGATTCCTTAACGCGGCAGATCTTCAGACAGACCACTTCAATGTTAACAAGGTAAGGATGTCCAGGAGCACCGACCGGTAATACTTCATTATACAGCTTGTATTAGGAATCTAAAACGCACCTCCCTCGAAAGCATTTCGCGATTACGCAAGATAATGAGGTAGCTGGTCACGTGGTCGCGTGACGTCATACCCGAGAGTCGCTACATCAACACACGGAAAATACAGTGGTACCGAGCCTGTTCGCTTACTGAGGTCTGCTTTTAGTTTAGCAAATAAATCAGTCCACGAAGTCAAACCTGGATTTGGATGGCATACTAGATACAGATAATATCACATACATGCAACATTTTCAATTTGAAAGTATTTCTAGCTGCAAGACCGAGAGGAATATTGACGACGATTCCACCAGTTGACAACATACAGCCATGGGACGATCACGACTATGTTTTAAATAGACGTACTGCAGACTGGTATGCAAGCCACTTGCCTATCACATGTTCATGGAAAACTGATTAGATACTGAATTAATTTTTCCGCGGTCACGGTAAACTTTGCAGTCATGATAACGGCAATGTTCGATCAATGTGCTGAGCCTGTCTTCCGGTATACATCGGTATGGGAAGGTAAACACTGAAATAGTTACGTTCGAGGTTCATGATTTTATGAAGGTTATTAAGTAACTTTCAGCTTTATTTAATAAAATGCGTCTCCTGTTAAATTTGTCCGTAAAGGTTTAAGTATGGTGATAATCTTTTCTATGAAATACGTACCGTTACGGAAGTCGATAAGTTCGATCTTACTCCTGTATACAGTAGAGGAGTACCCTAAATTCGTTAGTGTATGTTTCCGGAGAAGTCGGCGTATCGTCTCTGATGGCCTCAGACCACAATTATTTTCCCTATTGGCTATGTACAGTTACATGCCAGTCTACCATAATAAATATCGGTCGTAGGCTGTTTTCCTGTTGCATGCTGACCAACCTGCCACTTGTCACTTAACCAGCAAAATATCGGCCTGGGTCGACCACCTCAATTTTGCTGTATCCACTGTCAACTATGGTCACCGGAGGTTTCGAGCCGGAAACACACTAAACAACCTTGAACTTGGGGTCAAATCATGGAAGGCTGGTGCCAATACCATGTGCAGATTGTGGACCAAAAAAATTTTGCAATAAAGTACAATGTCTCACCTTTCATTTAAGCTACCACAAATCACCCTGAGAAAATTAGCACAGACAGAACAGCCCATTTAAACAAGGCACTATATTCTCCTATTTTGCTTCCGGGTCATGGTAAAAGTAAAGGGGGGTAACTGTGGTCTGAGGCCTATCAGGACTAAAAGAAATCTGCAAATTAAATAAAACTTCATCAATACTAAGACCAGACACTATGTAAGGCTCACAAAAAATTTGAAAGCCCTCACTCATACACAACTTGACTTATACCCCTTGCAAATCATGCTGTACCTCTGGCATTTGAGTGTTCATTTTTGGCATGAATTCATTTGAAATACAATTCTATTTTGTATATAACTCCATAACCACAAGGAAATTGACCAAAACATCAAGTGTCCCTGTTTTGTTATTGCATATACTATCTAAACACACCAGTTCAGTCTGGTAAAGAATTTTTTTCAATTTTTTGTTTATTTTTATATACATACATGCATTTTATACTAAAATAATTCCATTAAAGTTCATATTTAAAAATAAATTAAAAAATGAAACTGTTAAATTTATATTCATTAGAAAGCCCTATCTTTTTTCAATAAATTGATTGGCAGCTCAAGAAGCTGTGTACAGCCAGTCAAGTGCAGTGAGTCACCAGGCGTCACCACTCTCACCAGGCCAAAGCCAAAGTGTCAATCTGTGTGTATAGCTCAACTGCATTATGACGTCATAATGGTTTACAGTTATGACGTCATAATGCTAATACCCTGTGACGTCATAATTGTAAACCATTATGATGTCATGCAGCTTGCAGTAAGCTGAGAATCATCACACTGTACACAGTTTCTATCATTAGTTCAGTTGAGGACAATCACCATGAAAGGTGACCGCAAGCGAATAAAGTCACATTTCAGCCAAGGCCATACTCCCTGGAACAAAGATCTCACCCTTGAATCAGAAGAGTGTGAAAGTGCCTCTCCACCCAAGATACCCAGGACTGTGACTAGGTTCAGTGCAAAAGACTTCTCCCTGGTCACCAAGTCAAGGCTGGTTGGAACTCAGCTGTCAACGCCTGACTGCGAAGGTATATCTACTTCAGTGATGCTTCTGCGTCCTACTTCAGCCAGCAAGCTTGACCTGAAACAAGAGTATAGCAAACATGACTTGCAGGGTATGCGACTAGTCGACATTGAAAAGGTGGCTGATGTCATGGCCATCACGAAGCTCCTGCGGCTGCATCGCTCAACATCAACTAACTGTGATGACCCTCAGCTGCACATAGCCAATGAGAGAAAATGGGGTATGTGTTGGAAAATAACACTGAAATGTGTCATGTGTGACTTTGTAGCACCCGAAATGAAATTGTACAAGGAAATCCAGATGGGTAAACCTGGACCAAACCCAGCAGCACCTAACGTCGGACTTGCCTTGGGTCTACAAGACACACCCATAGGAAATAAGAGAGCGAGGCTGATTATGGCCAACATGGACATTCCACCTCCATGCAGGAGCAGTATGCAAAGGACCTCAAACAAGGTGGCTAAGGTTGTAACTGAACTTAACACTAAGGATATGGCTGAAAAGGTGGAATTAGTGAAGGATGTTAATCGAAAGAGGGGTACAAAGCCATGTGAAGTGAACATTGCAATGGATGGCCGATACAACTCGACGACAATAGTAAGCAGGAAGAAGCCAGGGCAGAATGCATCACAAGCAATCGGCATCGCTTGCGAAACTGTAACCGACAATAAGTTTATAATCAGTGCTTCATTCCAGAACAAGCTCTGCTGGACTTGTGCCTGGTTGAAAGGAAAGGGCATGGATGTGAAATGTCCAGGGGGGCACCCAGACTGTACTGCAAATATGTCGGCTTTCACTCCATTGTCTGAGTTCAACATGGGACAAGACATTGGAAATCAGCTCGCACTACAGGGTGTGTTTATAAAGTATGCAACTACCGATGGGGATTCCAGGTGTGCAGATGGACTAGACAAAGCTCTGAAAGTGTTGGACCCAATGTGGAAGGTGCAAAGACTAGCTGACCCGACCCACTTGGCTCAAGGACAGTTCCGACAATGCTACAGAGCTGATTTTAACCCAGACATGTTCCCTGGCACTGCACGTACACAGAAAATCGAAGCAAAGAAGGTCCTGAGTCAGGATGTGAAAGCACGGTGCAGCCTTATACTAAAAGAACTGATGAAGGATCATGCTGGCGACATGAAAACACTTAGTAGCATGTTACCTCGAGTGCTCGAAGCTACCCTGAAGTGCTACAGCGGCGACTGCTCCAGGTGTGCCCGGTACTCAGTTGTGTGTCGAGGAGGTGTAACAAACAGCTGGTGGCAGCGCTCTATGTTCCTCGGCTGCAACAATATTACACATTTCAACATGGATGACAACGATAAACACTTACTTCATGAAATTCTCAAAATGAAGCTAAGTGTTGAAGTTGTTGAACAAATGAAATTCTACACAGACACCCAGAAATGTGAAGCCGCCAACCGATCCCTGAGTATTTCTTTGCCAAAGAATGTAAACTTTTCAAGGAATATGATTGGGAGGGCTTCCTCGACTATTCACAGGCTCAACAATGGCCTTGGGACATCATCAATCGACAAGTGCCACCATTCTGGAGTCAAACTCTCAAGTCGGGCTGTGCAGTCACTTGAGCAAATGGACAAAGAGGCTGCCTATCACAAAGAATATGAGAAAAGTCCTAGTGTTGTCAAAAGGAAACTTGTACAGCACGGAATCAAAATCTGTGAACATTTAAAGTCTAAACAGACCGACAAACACAGTGGGGACTACAGAAAGGGCCAATTAGATCCTGTGCCATGTTTCAACAAAAAACATGAACATTCCTATTCAAAATGTGCAGTAATGCTGCAGAACTTTATAAGCTAATTACTTGCTTATGTTACCAACTTTGTGCAAATTTATGTTTAAATACATCTCTCAGCTTTCCGCGAATCAAGTATAATACCATTGAAACGGAGGTATTATCATT